TCCCTGATCACTATAATCTTAATCTGTGCAAGTCTAGAATCAACCATTATCTTTCCCTCCTATCCATATAAACTACCTCTTAATGTAACCCTCTACCTTGAGTAGCCCCTGGGCCTTGTACAGGATGAATCTTACTGTAACAAAAAAAAAAAAATTGTGATACATTATTCCACACGTTTTGCATGTGCTAATGCCGATGCAGAGTTGTAGGTGGGCTTAAGTGACTGAGTCAGGTGTCATTCCATTATGCCTTATACATATTCAGTAGAGGACAAGAGTGATAATGCCAGCTATGGATTGATTGACTGGTTTGTTTTTTTTATGGTTTATCAACCTTTTGAAGGTCATTTAAAGCCAGAAAATATTTTTACATTGTATTTTTTTTTTTTTTTTTGTGATATAATAATTTACTAATACAAGTCCTACTTGTTCTTTCTCTTACACAGATCAAGTCATAGTTGCTGAGAGACGAGGATGATTTCCCAAGAACTGAATTACAAAATTGACCCACACTAACTTAATCATCAGATCCATCCAATGTAGCTCTACATTCATCTGTAAAGCATCCTATTCAGAAATCAGTTTTCATTTACTTCTAACATACATATTACTCTTTGTGATTATAATTTGTTAAAAAATGAGTGACTTGTTGCACCTTCTTGGATTAATGTTTTTCGCTGATATGGAGTGGAAAGATTATAGTGAATTAATTGCTTAGTCTGCTATTAAGAAAGTTGGTTCACTGTGTCATACTAGACAATTTTTCTTGCCAGAATGTATCTTGCATATATATAAATCTACCATTCAACCTTGCTGTGAACACCAAAGTTAAGCAATATCAAGCCTGGTCAGTACCTTGCTGAGTGAGCACTTGGGAATACAAGGTGCTCTAAGCTTGAATGTGTGGGTAGTGTAATGGATAATGATTTAGAATTGTTAATTGGAGTGCCGAGTTCCAATTCTAGTCAAGTTAGTTATATTCACTTATGTGAAAATACCTCTTCTCCCCTCAGCTATGGGTCAATTAATAAAACTTGTATCACTAAATAATTAGTATCTAAAAAAAAAAAAAAAAAAATCTTACAATCTAAAAATATTTCCTGGCTTTCAGTATAACCTGAAAAGGATTGATAAGCTATAAAAATCAATTAATCAATAGTTACTATACTTTATTTAGTATCTAAGGCAAATATTTAAATTTTTATAAAACTTAGCAAAGAGAGACTGAATGTGTATCCTCATTATTTATAGACATTTCTTTAAAATAAATTAATTTCACTAATCATGGTATTTAGGAAATTCCTTTGTTATTCTATATAAAATAGAAAGTTTATAATACTAAATATATTTTCTTTCCCTAAAAGATATTTGCATAAATCAAAGTGATCACATCAGAGAATCTAAGTTATATATAGATATATAACAAGACAAATAGATGAAATTCGCATTCATTCATAGCAACATACACATTATTATATATGTATGTAAAGATAAGAATGATGAATAAATTTTTATCAAGATATTTCATAGTGAATCAAAGAGAGCAAAGCGAAAAAATAGTTCCTTATAGCCAATTCATGACAAACCCAAACTGATCTCTTGCTTTCATTTCCTTTGAACGCTTGCCAAAGTATAAGACCTGAAAATTGCATAATGAAATCAAATCCACAGCAACTTTGCATTCTCTAAGTTCGGCTTTCTTTTTCTTTTTTTTAATCAATAGAACAAGATGAAAAAGTATCAGAAACCGTATAGAGAGAAGCAAAGTTTGACCAGAACAACAAAGCAAGAACAAATTTGTAAAAAAAAAAAATCTAGAGAAAAATGATGAAAAGGAAAAAAAAATGTGCTTTGGTGCCAAAAAAATTGCTTTACATCTTTACATTGATGTTATTTCTGGAAACAGTAATAATACAATTTAGATCCAAGTGAACAGCACAGAGATCTGTGTAAGAGAAAGAACAATAATACTTTCCAAAAGGTAGAAGAGGTTTTCATTCTTTAAACAGTATAAAGTCTAGAAGCAAGTGTCTGGTGGAAATTGTTCCTACAGCAGTTAACTGGGATTTTTCAAAACACAGTTTTTTCTTTTTTATATTTTGTGTGTGTGTGTGTGTGTGTGTGTGTGTGTGTGTGTGTGTGTGTTTAACCTTAAACAAATCTCATTAAAAATTGTCTTTAACTTAGTTAAAGACAATTTTTAATGAGCTTATACCTAAGACAAGATTTTTTTTTTTTTTTTCAAAATGCTCAACTTTGTCACTTATCTACAATACTCTATATCATGTATTCCCAAAGTGGGTGGTATTCCTTGCATTGTGGTGGAAAGATCGGGGGTGGGGTGGGGTTGTGTTTGGGTGGGAGGCAGATCAGTGAGAAAAAAAGGGGGCAGCCAGCAAGTGGCACATCTGAACCATAAACATACACCACACATGCACCTTGTACCTGAACTGTGCTTTGCCTTCTCTTTACAGTGTATCCCATTTATATAACAATTATTATGGGAAATACTAAGATACTCATTTGACATGCAATACTAGTACCAAGGAAATCTAATCAAAGGTTGACTATACATTGGGGGGGGGACGCTTGGGTTGTGTTTTGGTATGCAGGGTTGGGGTGGAAACCCAATAAAGTTTGGGAACCACTGCTCTATATCAACATTTGCACAGTGAAAATATTCCCTCTGTTTTTCTCATTCATGCTTATACAGAGAACCGATGACATGCTGAATAAAAACGCTTGTTGTTTAACTTGCTAATTCATAAAGTCAAATGTCAGAGGTGAAGAATATATCTTTAACAAGTTTTTTTCTCATTATGGCTCACCTGACCAATTCCTTCTGTAACACTGGAATTATGATATGTAGTAAACAACTAGAGTTATTTAAATCAGACAGTAAATTACCTTGAAAAAAAGGCAGGTATGTTTTATGTATGGGGATAGAATAGTAACATTTCTGTTTTTTATGAGCTATCTGATTTAGCCATTTGAGCAAAGTATTCTTTTTAATTAGTGGGCATGTTTGAATCATGAGAGCTAGGTTCAAATCTCACCATGGTCAATTTGTCAAGGAGATGACTTCTTCATAATATCAGGATAGAGAGATGATCTCAACATGCAACACTGTTGGGAAGTGCCTGAAATACTGCTCACATGATTTTTGTAGGAATTCAAGTATTGATCAAGATTTTATTATCTCCTTTCTCTTTTCTCAGATTATTTGAAAGTTATTCTCATGATATTGTACAAACCTAAATCTATGTTTCATCTATTCCTTGTGTAAATATTAAGAACCCTAAATGCTTATGCAGTTAACAATTTATTTTTTAATGGTTTTCTTTTTAACCCCGAAATGACATTAATTTTTTTTTTATAAAGCAATATTGTGGATTAAATTCAAATGTAAATAAATAATTCTAAGGTGGCTAATGTCTAATATCTTGATATACACAATTGTACATAATATCAAAAGATTTTCGATAAATTAAATTAACTTTAAAAATGACAAATGTTTTGAAGAGCAAAATTTTCATACTTGATTGTAGACACAGACATCCAAACGTTTTCATAATTGATGTAGATGAAGGCATTCAAACGTTTTTCATACTTGTTGGAACAAAGTTGTTCATATTTGATTGTAGGCACAGACATCCATAGTTGATATATTAGTTGAAATGGTATCAAAGAATTTTAATTTTACAGATGTTTGATTTATTAATCCTCCTAAAAGTTAGTTGTGATTATTCTTCCACCATGAAAACCATAATTTTGACACTAAGAATTCAAAATATTATTGCTACATAACTGACAGGTTACTCCCAGTAATGTAACAGGGATGCCTTTCAAATCTTAAATACAATTATTGTAGTTGTAACATTAAAATAATAACCAAAACAGATAACTCTTCATTGTCAATATTCAGAAAGTTGCCAACATTTTTAATATTATGCTTGCGAATGAATCTAATTTATGGTTGAACTTCTTAATGAAGTTGAGCTTCTGGAGATTGAACCTTGAAGTACAAACTATTTCCAAATTTTTGTACTTTTTGTCTTTTGGGGGTAGGAATTAGCACCTCAAATAGATTCTGAGAACAGAAGAGAGATAGAAATATGACAAGTTGGATGATGAGTAAATAAACATAAATAAAAGTACTTATTGAAGCACATCTTTGAATGATAACACTACTACTAATAATAATAAAAATAGCTTCTTGTTTCCAAGCACATCAATCTGCTTGTGCCTAGCAAATTGCTGTTGCAGATTGCCTTCTCAGGTACATCTGTGTTTGTTCAACATCCACAGAATGCACCTATGGTTTATACTATAATTATGTTGCGCGGACCATAGGCTCTCTCCCAGAATCTGTAACTATCATTGGATGTGATTAAGAATTTGAAAAGGGCCAGTATGCTCAAACCCTTAGTCACAATGACTTGTGAACTTGTGCAATCATTGACAGCCTCTGAATATTTCCATCTAGCCAATTTTACTCCCAATGCTTGGATCAACACATGGCTTGGATTACAGGCACTTTTCAAAGGGTGCCACATGCTGGGATCACTTCCAGAAAAATTGACCATACTGCAATTTGAACCCAGGTTTCATGGTCAAAAAGCAAATGTTCTAACAACTTGGCCATATGCCCACTCTTTGGTGACAGAATGCAAGAAAAGGGTCATTGTCTACACCTATCAAAAAGCACACAAAACTAAACCAAGGGATTAATTGCAACAATTGTTTTATACAGTGATTTGTAAAAAGAAAGAAATGAGATTGTATAATAATCAACAGAAAATAGCAAATTAAACAGTCACAAGTTGATGAGAATACAAAGATAATGTCAATTTTGATACAGTTAAAAAACCAGTTAAATTGATGAGTAAACAGAAAAAAAGAAGCATTTGAATCATTTCCCAACTATATCTACAAGATTTTAAAAATTGAAAATCAGGACAAAAGGAAGTAAACAAAAAGAAACATTTGACAAATCTTACCTTTCCTTGAACAGTAGGTGAAGACATAACACTGCGGGGAGTATATAAAGTTCCTGGAGAAAGTCCATCAAACTCTCGTTTCCTTAAATGTGCTTTACGTTCAGGGTCATTCATCTTATCATAGCTATGCGTATAGATGTTCTCCCTGCTAGACATGTTTCTCAGATTGGAAAGGTACGCATTTTCACCCAGATTATCCAGCGACTGGGAGAGGCAGCTGGAAGGGGTGCCCCGTCCAGACCGTAGAGTTGCTGTCGTTGTTGTAGGTGTTGGAGAAGCGTTCCAGCTGACCTCCTCCTCAACTGCTGAGGTGCTCTGGGTCCGCACTTTGTCCACTGAGTATGGGTCATCATCATATGAGGACAACAAGGCAGTGCGCTGATGTCGTATCATGCTGGGTGAGTATGGCCCTTGAATACTTGAACTAGACAGACTGGGAAACTTGGAAGCAGAGGAGACATGACTGCCAGTCATAGACACACTGAAAACATCATCACACGAACCAGCTGTACCCATAAAGAGACCAGAATCATCATAGGCGCCGTTGTCATAGCAGCCAGGGGACTCGTCAACCGGAAGACTGGTAACTGATGTAGACGAGTAATGTGGCAGACCATGGACACTGTACTGTGATATAGACTCCGGCATGGAAGACTGTCTTTCTGGTGGTACAGGCGGTGGGGCAGCACGGCGAGGACGCCTGCGGATGGTCAGGGTCACTTTTCCCGAACGTACTGCAGCAGCTAACACTTGCCTACAAAAAATTTACAAAGAAAAAAATTTAAAATAAAAGTAAATAAAAAAAAGAATTAAAAATTAAAAAAGAATAAATAAAATGGAAAATGCAAGTAAAGATTTCATTCAATAATAATTAAGATATTATCTAGCAATGAATTAACTAATGACAAGCAGTGATTAAATATTTCTAAGAAAAAATATTATTAAAACATCAACTGGTCTTAAGAAATTACATTTATTTCAGGATTGCTGACTCTGGAAATATTTGGTTCACTAATTGGAGTTGACCGATTTTGAAAATATAATAAAAAAAGTATAGTATAATTTGCATATTGATAGTTTTACATCTCAGCATAAAACTAAAATAGCTGCTATGCTGTTGATAAGGAAGGTTAGTAGAAAACAAAATACAGAACAAGTAAAATTATGAAAATTCATTATAATATCAAAATCTCTACATTCATTTAATTTTTTCCCCCTTTCACTAAGAGTAGATAGGTTTGCCTATTATCCAGTTCACTCTCTTCCCCAGTCTTTTGAACAGGAGTAGCAGTGTATCCCTTATTTCTTGTTTAGGATTGAGAAGACTTTAAGGAAACAGAAACCCATTATCTTTCACTCTCAGTAGCCCCTTGCAACTTAGTGGCCTTATCACCTTGCTTGGAGTGAACTTAATAAAAAATTAAATAAATAAAAAAATCTTCTCTCTTTCTCCTCACACTGTTTTTTAAAATTACCCAATTTCCATCAACTGTTGTGAATCTTTTTATTAGACAGTCTAACAGAAATATGAATTTCACTTTTACTTCAAGATGAATGTACAATGTGCCTTTTATTTTTTTTTAGATATATAAGTCTTCAAAACTCAAAGAAAATTATAAAATATCTATTCTATAATATAAAACAGAACATGAATCTTTTTATTGGTTATATATCCTTATCTCCCCAACTTCAAATCAGATAATCATTTATTATAGTAACAGGAAACATTAGATGATGTAAATAATCAAAAGTACCTAACATAACATCTCATTAGTAAGTAGGGAAGATCAGACTGCTAATACAATACTTTATTTCTTTCTTACATGCAACAATTAACATAAATTGAGATGATACAAATTCTTCATTACCCATAATATATAACAAATGCAAAATTACTTGAATATTACTATTATTTTTAAACAGTTCAAGTAAACTAGTATGTAAAATAGAAAAGATTACAAGAAGAAAAAAATAAAAGTGAAATGATTGTACATTTAAAACTAAGAAAAAATTAACTTTAGCAAAATATCATTACTTTGTTTTTAGTAAGTTTTGGGCATTTTTTTCATTATGTATGCACATTTTTAATGAATCTTTGGCAGTACCTAGTTTGACATATCTTCTAAAATCTTGAACAGAAAAAGTCTGTGTGTCAAAAATATTCAATTTGTTTTTTTTTAAAATAGTCAAAATTATCAGTATTAATAAAATTTTTTTGAGAGAAAGATTTTATAAGTTTCAACAAACAGTATCCCTGGCTGCTTTGTCAATGAATGTCAACTCTTTCCTTATGAAGGAAACTGCTAATATTACCATTACCACTGAATTAGTTATACCTGTGTCTATTTATATACAAGATAAACATTGCTATCTGATTGTCTAGAAAAACAGAAACAATTAGGTTTTTTGAATTACTAATATCTAAATTCAAGTAAAAGTCAATATCATATAATAATTAAACATTTTCTGAATTATTAACATGAGTTTTTGCAATTTCATAAATTTGAATATGATATAAAATATCTTAGATCACAAAGGAAAGAAAATTTAACTGAGAGCACGCATTACTTTGAAAGTAGGAAATATTTTCACAAACCATAAAATGTCCTTGATCAAAAAGAAAAAAAAAAAAATCAACCTGTGGAAGCAAAGCAAGTAGTTTTCCTTGTAATGTCCATGAGGTTGTGCTGCTCAGAGAAGAAACTGTTGTATTTTCAGATAGTCAATATTTTTATTACAATTTCCACCCACCACCACTACCACCTTTCAAATTTTCCAGCCAATACCTGAGAGTCCCTTTAACTTTTTTTTCATTTTTCAAAAAGGAGGTTACACCCTCCCACTGCTTTTCATTTACACTGAAGTAACAAAGTCACCCAGCCCCACCTCCCCACTTTCTTTTCAGTCTTATTTGCTTTTATTTCATGAATAGGAAGCACACTAAATAAAAAAAGAAAAGAAATAATAAAAAAAGACATAAAAAGGAGAGGGAGAGAAAAGAGAAATCTGGAAAAAAGAAGAAGAAAAAAGCTACTTATCATAATTAACAATCTTCAGCCATTCCCTCCATTATGCAAACTCACTGGCTTCAAACTCACTTTATAGACATTTATATTCTATAAACACACACACATATATATATATATATATATACACACATACACACACTATAGAAATAATCAAGTTGTAACAGTTCTATTTCAGGTTAACCCTTTCCTACCAACTTTAAATGTCAAATAACTGCAAAAACAAAATTTAAACTATTAGAAGTTCAACTAATAAAACTTTACAATTAATAATAAAAGGAAATTCCCATAAGTAAGGTTGTAAGAACATTGTTATTATTATAAGTGATGATAATAATAATAATAATAATTATAATAATAATTGTCGATTTATGTTGTTTTTTAAATTGCTGTCTTTTGTTTAATTAAGTGAAAAAAAAAAAAAAAAAATCACATCTTACACTTGCCCGAGGCCATTGGTTAGGTCCTGGTATGTGATGAGAAAACTAAAACAAATGCAATTGAAAAAGAAATTTAAAAGAAAAAAAAATAATAATGTGAAATTAGCCCACAAAATATAAACCAGTATCTTTTGTTGTTCAAATTTCCCGGAGTTTTTGGCTTTTTATCACATTTTGGCTGACATATTTTTCTGGCCAACCAAATGAACCAATATACAATAATTGCAAGAAAAACTATCATCATTTTCCCTCTATTTCTTATTCAACTTCTTTCTGGAAAAATTTGCTTACTAACTTTATTTAAAAATTCATTTTAAAACAATTCCCTTTTCTAGAGGATTAGTGTTATTTTCCTGATATTTACAATTAAAAATATTTAATCTTTTATACAGTAATTGATCTTTGATACAGCAAAAAGATTCCATTCTCCATATATTCAATCATTTCATTATTTCAACAGACATTAAGAACATTCACAATTAATGTTTATTTGTTACAAATTATTTGCTTTTATGCTTTCAAATAATTGCAGTTAGAAATTAATTGATAGGTTTTGTGGTTATATATCTTCTGTAACATAAATTCAGAAGATTTGTAGTGAATTACTCAATCTCTTCAAATTTGGAGGATTGAGGAAGATGAAAGAAAGAAATTTGTGAGCTTATGTGGAATTTTCTTTGGACCAATGAAATCCTTGCCTTCACAGAAATTTACTGGTTAGCTAAGAAGGAAATGATGTAGCAAGCCTATGCAAAATTCTTTTTGATATAAAAATATAGAAGAAGAGAGAAAAATTAATAAGAGGAGCATTTCTGAAGTCATGGGAATGGTTTCATTTCAGTTCCTTGTGACCAACATTGAAGTTCTTGCCAATGAAAAATTACTTGCCAATTATCTTATCAGCCTCTAGCCATCACACGGTACTTCAAAGAATTTTCTCTTAACAATCCAAGAAAGTTAAGTATTTCAAACTCTTTTTGACCACTTTTGAACATACGCAAACCATATATCCCTTTGGTGAAGCAACAAACGTTTACCTTTGTCTTAAACATTTTTGAATATCATTTTGTGTCAGATCATTTAATCTGTTGTATAAGCATTTCCCCTTCATGACAACCATGGACTTTAACAATGCTGATTTATTTTCCTGAAATGAGCTACTGACACTATTTCAAGAATGTAAATTCATAATAAGTTCCTTATCTTGTTTTGTTAAAATTACCTGTATGTTTCCTCATTATTATCATCCTTCATTAATCTTCTTCGCATGGGTAAATCAACGGTTCATTTTAACTCTTAAGCCCAACACCATTACGGATTTAAATTTTACTGGTACATTAATTTATAAATAAGTTGCATACATTTTTATTTTTTTAACAATTTTCATAAAAAAAAAAAAAAAAAAGTTATGGAATGAATGATCTATGACACTTTAGATCAGGTTTATACAAATACATTAATAAAATTTTTAATTATTTTATTACAGTTAGCTATAACATCCATTCAAGAAACTGCTTTTTGGCAGTAGATAATTATAACATTTGAGTATTATAAATATAATGTGTATGAGAAAAAAAACTGTATAAGTTTGCCTATCATCCAGTTCACACTCCTCCCTGGTCTTTTGAACAGGAGAAGAGGTTTATCCTTTGTTTCTGGTTTAGGGTTGGATTTTCTAGCTCTCTCAAGTTTTTTTCCTTCTCTTTCCTTTTCAGTGGCCCTTTGCATCTTTGTGTCATTGTCACTTTGCTTGGGGTGGTGCCTCTTACTCTGTAATCCTCTACCTCAAGTGATATTTTAGGCCTTGTATAGTGTGAACATCACTGTAATGTATAAGTTCCTGAATATACATTTTTCAACTTATATATAAAAAAAAAAGAAACCAATAGTTTTAACAAATAACACTATTATCATAAAAAAGCATTGATAAATATTTATAACCTATAGATATGGCAAAGTGTAAAAATAATAGTTGACATTGAGAAAAATGCCTAAAGTCTAGATGCTTTAACATTCACACAAAGCTGAGCTTTCTTATAGAATGTGCCAACATCTTATCTGATGAGCAATGACATTAATTCTTTGAATAATGCATATTAATAAAAGAAATAGCATAACATCTTAAAATGAGAGGGAAGCAAAAAAAAAAATATGCAGTGTAAGAATGCTGAATGTCAAAAAAATAAATAAAAATAAAAACTAGTGAGGAGAAAGTATCAGTCATACAGATGTTCTTCTCTACTGTAAGGGGTACAAGCGTGTGTCATCACCAATAGATGACTGACTCCAATATAAATGACACATACTTGCAAACGTATGCACATATACAAAAGAATATCCTGAGGTCCTATTGTTCTACCAACTAATCATGATCTGTCAAATGATTAACTGTCAGAAATATGTTTATTTGACTGCAACATTCTCTTAGAGTAGAGCTGTCCTCCATACACTTAACATGTCTCACATTCTTCAAGTTGATATAAATACATTACTTGGCTTACAAATAAGACACAAATAAATAAATAATAAATAATGTTCCTTGCATTCACATTTGTATTTTTAAGAAACAGTACAAATTGGAGATACCAAAATTAAACAAGTGCAAAAAGTGAAAAGGACATGTTTTAATGGAGGACAGAAAATGCAACACTGAAATCCCAAAGAAGAAAAAAAAAAACAAAAAAAAAACATTGGGATAGTGAAAGATACTTTTCCAAAGGTAAGCAAAGTATTAATAAGATAATTTTGTTGGTGTTGACTCTAAAATGAAATATATATAATTAAGTGGCAGATAAATTCAAACTCAACAGGAGTTATGTCACTTAGTGGATTTCTACTCTCCAAGGATTAGAGAGTTTGCCTCATTTGGTTTTCATCTCTTGAACATGGCAAACTGAACTACTACACTTGTAATTTCAATCCACGCTGAACCCAACTAAGTCAACATCCATCTGTATGTATTCTTATTACATTTCATTCTGTTAAGTTATATAGAGTATCTCTAAGTTATTATTTCAATTTTTAATCATATTAATCTCATACACACTTTAGAAGCAACATTATTCGACCATGAGAGGCCATTTTCACATAACACATAGGTGACACTTTATTCAAGAGTTGAAACCCTGTCTATCATTAGGATTAGTTCATATCCCATAACAAAGACCACAAGGTCATAACAATGAGAAATAAAGAAAAGAATACTGAAGTGTTATGTAATATCAGACCTCCTATATGGCAATGAATGCTGAACCATCTCATCACAGATGAAGAAGAGACTTGAGGTAACAGAAATAAGGTTCTATAGAAGGATGCTGAAAATACCATGGGCTGAACATGTGAGCAACAATGAAGTTTTAGAGAGAAAAAAAAAAACAAAAAAAAAACACAGAATCAAAAAGAGTTGAAATTTCTAGGGCATATAAAGAAAGAGGGCTTAGAAAATTTGTCATTGACAAAACATATTGAAAGCAACAGGGATAATTTACCTAATGAACTTGGGTAAATGGTTGGCAGAACAGCGATTATGAGATATAGCCAAAAGACAAACTTTACTAAGGGATACAAAGACAGAAATTTGAGAGCTATGATCAAACACTTCCTGGAGGGACATGGCACATAGATAAAGAAATACTTGAAAAATAATTTCTAAATATGTTTGTTGGTGAATAAATCATTTGAAAGAAAATAATGGCAAAAGTACTAAAAATGGTGATCATTCTTTATGGAATAATGAAGTAAAACTTTCAATTTTTGATAGATTCATTTTCTATGGTTTATCAACCCTTTGCAGCTTATTTAAAGCCAGAAAATATTTTTAGATTGCAAGAATTTTTTTTTAGGAGGGGGAGATAATAATGGTCTAGTGATACAAGTTGATATTAATTAACCCATAGCTAGGGGAGAAAAGATGGATTTTTACCTTTCCCAAGCATATTTACATGTATGCAAATATAAAGAACCCAACAGGAATTGGAACTCAACTCTTTGATTAACAATTTCAAGTCATTATCCAATACACCACCCACACATCCAAGCTTCCATCACTTGGTATTCACAAGCGGTGACCCATCTGCCCAGGCTTGACATTGCTTAACTTTGGTGATTTTTTGGGAACTGTGTATCAATGTGATGTGGCCATAAGAACTTTCAGTTTTACAACTAAATTAATTTGCCATTCTTATAGGTTGGAACCATACATGTTTCTTTGAAGGAATTATAAATAACAAAATTATAACTGTTTTGTCATATTTACTTTTTGTTATATATATATATATATATATATATATATATATATATATATATATATATATATATATATATATATATGCAGATTTCATTAAATATGATGAACAAAGATTATTTTGTAACTTTTTCTTGTATTCTTACAATTTTTTCTTTTTTGATGATGAAGTGTGCGGTGAAATTGTCCATGTTTATTGCTCAGAGTGATTCTGGCTATTGCTTTAACCATTTTCAGGTGGGTGAGAAGTATTTATGCATTTTTTTTTAAAAAGAAAATATTCCTTCAATAAAACATGCATAAAAAAGAATTGCTACCCAAATAAACAGTAT